TATCTAGCAGTTTCTTCACCAATCATGAATATGGATTTCTTTTTCGTCAATATTGAGGTTGATCACCTCCCTCCTGAACCACCGCCAATCCAGGAAGATGGATTGCATGCAATGCTTCCTTTCCGATGGTTGGAGAAACCGAAATAAATTCTGCACTTGACTCCTTACCGGTGGCTAGAAATACCTAGAAGTTTAATAGCTCCTTTTCAGTTACTGGTCAAACCAGATCCATTTTGAGTATAATGAGCAGTATCACTGCGGTACTAGTCTACATCGTTGCAGGGTTAGCGAACAGGAACACCGTTGTAGGTCTGATCCTTTTGTTCTTTGTCTCACCCTAGTGTAGCATTGAACGCTATTATTGTAATGTTTTGTCTTTTGATTGCTATGTTTCTTGATATCTTTATCAATAATAATTAAGTTATTTGTTCTCAAAAATAGGGTAGGCTAAGCCTATTTAACTATATACAACTTATTGTATTGTGGCCCTTCAATATATTATTTATTGCAAAGAAATCCAACGGTTTATTGTTGATATGTGATAATTGTTCAGCATTGATGTGAGTTTTATCGCACTTAAAATATGTCGCAGTATAGGGTTAGAGTACGAGTATCGTCTCCACAAGGACAGAAAAAGGAATCAAGAATTAAATAAATTCAACGATTAAAATAAATAAAAATAAATGCAATTGTGCGAGATTTGAATTTTTGAGAAATAAACTATTGCAATAAAGCAACTAAACTACAGGGTTCTTTCTAATTAATGACGATAGGGAACAAGGATTGATTCTGGGGTAATCAGATTTCTGACTCACCGGGCTTAATCACATGAAAATTATTTAATTGAGCAACGCTGGTCAATACTAAGTTCTTACCCCTCTCGCGGCGTAGAGTACAATAATTTAGGGAACCAGTCTGATCTCTCATGTGACATGTATCTAAATTATTGCCAAAACGAGCGAGTGTATGCCTCCCCAACTGTTACTATCTCTTAGCGGATGATTAAGTATGTGTGAAAGTGTCCTAGAATAAACGATTAAGTGTGTGTGAATCGGCATCGGTTTGGCTACGGGTTCAGGCCGATGTTTTATAAAATGCGGTTCGGGACCCGGTTCGAGGTGGGATTAATCCTGGTCATCCTATATATGTATATTTTGCATCTAATTGCATGGAATATGACAATTTAATGCTAAGGCTTGATATTTGATGATTAAACGCTAAGGCTTGGTTTAGTCGTTAGTAATGATATGATATAGACCCTATCTAGTATGATATGTGGTAGATCATCAGAAATGGTGGAGTACCTAGGTACTGGACTTTCCTCAAAACCCGGTATATAATTGGTGGAGGACCCAGGGACCGGACTTTACTCAAAACACAGTATAGATATAAATGGTGGAGAACCCAGGGATTGGACTGTCCTAAAAACTCGGAATATAATTGGTGGAGTACTGAGGGACTCGAGTGTCCTCAAAACACATAGATTATAGGTTAGTAATTCAGGACCAAGCATTGTCTTTAATGGATTTGATTGGACCAAGAGGAGTCATGTACACTCATAAGTGATTGGGTAGGTTTGGGATTTTAAATCAAGGGCATTGACTACTAATATTTTCCCATCGTAAACAATGACCTACGGGTCAGTTATATTTCGAGGGTATATACTGATATGTATTTCAAGACTTGGGGGAAAAAGGTATAAGTGTATGTATCACCCTATGTTTGGGTCTTATACTTGAAACGTTAGTTATTCTACATTTAGTCTGCTTCAATTCTTGCTCGGTTGAAGCGTACATTTAGCCTTCGGGGGGCACCATTTTCAGGTTGAAACTAGAGCTTGCTACCTGCACCTTTGAAATGGGTGAAGTCACATTCAGGAAGACATGGTCCGTGTTTCCTTGTTATCTCTAAAACTACAAACACTTGCTCTAGATATTTGGTAATGAATACATTGTTTTGAGCCTGCGAGTCCACATTTTGCCATACGTGACCCATGATTGACTATTGAATATTTCTGTTATTCATTCGATCTAAATTATGATGTTGTTGTGTATGTTTTCTTACTGAGTATGGCATGAACAATGTTCATGGACGCCTTGTACAATCGAGTGAATGTAACTCGCGGATGAATCACTTGATTGTACAGTGGTTGTACATGTGCTTAGATGCGGTCTGGGGCGTGACACTCAAATTGATTTGCAGAGTCAACACTTTTTAGTCAACCAATGTTAAAGTTAAATCCCCCATATTTATAATTAATTCAATTTTTAATAATTAAAATATACATATTCAGAAATTACATTAAAAACTCTTCAAATCTTCAAACTCCATATTAGAATATAAATAAATATTGGCATCCTAATTAAGTGAAAAAGGTGAAGCTTGTTGACCAAAAAAGTCAATTTTGAAAATCAATTTGGGAAGAAGGTAGTATTTTGGTCTGTTAAAATTTGGAAAAAGGGTCAAATGAGCCCTTCTATTATTACCCAACTGTCACTTAAGCTCCCCGGCTCTAAAAAGTGTCACACAGATACACTTACTCCGTTTAAACTGGCACATAGGTCACATGACCGGCTGCTCACTTGGAATTCCTGGTTGTGGCCTTACGTGTTCTGTTTTTTACTCGCTCTGGCGTATCTTTTCCACATCAGCTGGTTCAAGCTTTGATTTAGCCCTAAATAAAAACTTGGCTTGCGGTATTTTTCATCAATGAAGAAGTATGCATCTTATCCAATCGAAGCCTAAAGGAAAGGTTAGGGTTTTCCCGTTATAAGTCTGTATTTCGACACTCATTTGATGTGTGTTGAGATTGGCTTTTGATGATTTTCCTAGCTTAAAGGTGTCATAAGTAGCATTTTTAGCTCGAGTCATATTTTACCGGGCGATGGTTCATGTTTTCTATTTTTGGAGTCAAACTCAGGGAATTAAGCCCAACACTGGCATTTGAGAAGTAATCGGGACAAGTCAAGACGCATTTGAGAGTTGATTAGGAGCATTGAAGGTCAATGTGGTGTTAAAGACAAAGTTTTGAAGACAAAGGAGCTCTAGAATTGGCTACGGGATCAAAAGAATATGAATAGAGTTTGAAAACGGAGTTCAAGATGGCGTTCTGTCAATAGTTCAAGCATATCTTTTCGTAGAAACATTCAAAGAACATGATTCAAGTTCCATATGAAAGCTAACTTCAAGGGCTACAAATCATATGAAAACACCGTTACGAGAATCTGAGAGTAGAAAGGTGAAAACAGACGATGCAGTCAGATACTCTCCGTTACAATCTCAGGATGCGACCTTCCACCATTTTACCAGCTTTGCAAGTTGTGGTGGATAGAGGACTTCATTGTCTGCAACTTTCATGAAGAAAGCATCGTCAAAATCGAAAGAGAAGGGTATGCGTCGTGCGCCCGAAGTCGGGCACGTCGTGCCCGCTGAAGGAAACAGCGAGATGGCTACTAGAGGTCAGGCACGTCGTGCCTAGACCCGAAACACGCAGATGCTCCGAATGCAAGGATGATTACTCGTACTCATACCATTGTTCTACTACTTATTTTAGTGCGAGAAAACTAACATCATCCCGCAAACCATCTTCATCTTCTGAAATATCTTCATCTTTGGTTACTTCAAACAGGAAGGATATTGATAGTCGTTATATTTACTTGTGTTTAACATAAGTATTTATAAGTATTTGTTGAAGAAAGGAAGAGAAATCGGGCAAATACCTTCAGAATGAGAGCTAGAGCATAAAACATTGTGATGAAGAGTTTTTTGGACCAAGAGGATGACGTTCTGCCCATAATTCGAGTATCGTATTGTAGAAAACTCGAAATCACTCGATTCGAATATAATGTGAATTTTAACTCAATAAGGTACAAATGTTATGAAGACATGATGGCCAGAATATGAAAGGATCAAGAGTTAATCAACCAATAAAGTCAGATGTTGCTGGTGGGATTTCAGGATGCATACCTCTCAGTGTTTTATCTATAACTTTTGATTGGATGATTGAAACGACTTCTATCAAGTTTCGGTGGATAGAAGACTTCATTATATACAACTTTGGTGAAAGAATCATGTCCAAATTCGTAGTGGAACATCACCAAAATCCTAGGACAACACCAGCGCCGGAATTTCACGAAACCGGAATCGATCTGATGATTTTTTGCACATATACACAAACCCGTAGCTTAACCGGCGCCGGGTTACCCCTATAACCGGCGCCGGTTATGTCAAAATTCCAGATTTTACCTGCGTTAAAAGCTTAACCGGCGCCGGGTTAGTCTATAACCGACGCCGGTTAAGCCTGATTCTGCTAAACGATTATTCAACCCTATTAAAGCATTTACGTGATTCACGAAGCCTTAGTTGTTGTTATCACTCATCTTAAACTTAAAATTAGTTAAACGATTATCTTCTTAAACAGAAAGTGAAAAGCCAAAAATATAAAACACAAATGAAAATCCCTACACTTTACTCATTTATTTATTTAAAGTTATCTACTCTCGGACTCAAATTAAACAGTGTTTCCTTGTGAATTCGACCCGGTATTTTACCGGAATTTATTACTATATCAGCACTTGTACACTTGCAAGTTAAGCCCGGTCAACTTTTTGGCACCATTTCCGGGGAAACGGTCGTTTTTAATAAAGTCCAAAAAAATAATCAAGCAAAAATCCTGATTTTTTTTATTTCCCATTGCTTTTCACTAGGGGTGCAAATGAGCCGAGCCAAGCCCGGTTTTATGCAGGCTCGAGCTCGAAATATATTATACTGGCTCAAGCTCGAGCTCGATTCGAACGAGCTTAAAAAATTGAGGCTCGATCTTGACTCGCAAATATTTAAATAGCTCGATTCAGCTCAATTGGCTCGATAATTTTGGTTCATCAACTCAAAAGTTGCAGGTTCAATTAGCTCGAAAGTTTGAGTTCGAACTTCGAACTCGAGCTCAAGTATGAAACCATTTTTGAATATTTGTGCTTGACATTTGTAAATTGCAATTTACATGCCAAACAAATTAAAGTAGAGTAAATGTTATCCAAAATAAATGAAGTGGTTAAATCCTAAAGATTAAAATGAAACTAGAGTTATGGGAACAAAAAATATACAAAATTTAATCCCAACTCAAAATGTCCAACCATTTGTGCTTCTAATGTAAATCAAAAGTGGTCAAAACATGAAGATTAAAAACAAACTAGAGTTATGGGAACAAAAAATAAACAAAATTTAATCCCAACTCCAAGTCTCCAACTAGTTGTGCTTGACTGCTTCTAATGGTTCTTCTCCCATGGCTCAAAGATAAACCTGTCCAATTATGATCACAAATTCACAACACAACATTAGTATAAAACAAATTGGAAATACAATTTAAATACACTGTTAGTTAAATGTTTCAAACTATAATGTCAAAAGTAACATACCTAGTTACGTGATTAGAAAGCATTGCTACAACACATTAAACATCAACAAATTCAAACAATCCATATTTAAATAAATATAGAAGAAAAAAAATTATGGACAATTTCAGGAAATTGAATTAACCAAAGCAGCAAATATAAAAGCAAAAGTCAATGATATCATTCTTTACCGTTCTAAAATTGAACTTACTTTGATCAAGTTACTTGTGGAAGAAAGATTTCTTGGTATGATTTCTCTTTCTGAAAAATAAGAAACAAACTCATTAGGAAACAACTAGTCAAAAAGTTTATTTATTCTTTACCTAGAAATGTAGTTTGAAAAATGTCTTGCTTTCTTTTTTGAGACTTTGTGCATACGTCAGAACCAATCTCCTCCACATAGCAAAACTTGCACAGTTTTCGGTAACAATGATGCACGATATGGATCAATTACCCTTGTACCCGCGCTAAAAGTTTCTTCGGAAGCCACACTTGTTATTGGAATGGCTAAAATATCTGCTGCAAGTCGTGATAAGGTTGGATATTGTAACCTATTCATCCTCCACCAATGCAAACAAGAAAAGTAGTCTCAAATTCCAGTCTTCTTTAAGCGACTCTTTTCTAGATAATCGTTTAATTCTGATCTTTGAGGCTCAACTGTCTCAACTTCTGCACAAAAAGATTCAAAGTCTTCATCCCAGATTTGAGTAGAGCTTTTGTTGTTTACTTGAGTCCCAATTTGGACCCCAAACTATTCAAAGAATCACAACTTTCAGAATGTGATACATGAATCACTTCTCTGTTGAATGACTCTGCAGCGTACTCTTCATAAAGTGTGGTAAGGGTCTCTTTTACTTTTGAAATGTTTTGGACAGCTTCCTCCTTCGAATAAAGTTTAGGAAAACAAAACTCAATAGCAAGCTGTTTCTTGGTTGGATCCAACACAGCAGCTATAGCCATCAAAAGATTGCACTCACTCCAATATTTATCAAACTTCAATTTCATTCTACAAATTAAATCCTTGATAAAAGATTCTTTATGATTTGCATTCTTATCTAGCGATGATTTTACTTTTTGGACTTCCTGAAGGAACAAATTTGAGGTAGGATATGCACTACCTGAAATGATGTGTGTTGCTGTCCAAAAAGATTCTAAAATTGAACAAACCTTTTGCACCTTATCCCAATCCTCATCCAAAGGACAACTATCATACCTTGGGTCACGATCACGTAACATCTTAAAAGCTTCTCTTAACCTGAGTGCACAACTTAACATTTCAAAGGTTGAGTTCCATCTAGTCTTACTATCATAGATCAACTTCCTATCTTTCAGTTGTAATTGATTCACACAATCTGCAAATTGTATTCGTCGTGCTTCTGAACGATTAACATATTACACACTATCTTTGACATCACTAATGACGTATCCTATCTCATCTAACCCGTCTTGAACACATAGGTTAAGAATGTGTGCACAATAACGAACATGGAATAACATCCCTTCACACACCAACTTCCTCGACCTCTTAATAGTATCCTTCATATAGCGAATAGCTGAATCATTGCTTGTAGCATTATCTACTGTTACTGTAAAAAAATTGTTTTCGATGTCCCATTCTTTCATGCACTTGAATATAGCATCAGAAATTTGAAGTCCTCCCCTTGGTGGTGGAATGTTTATGAAACTTAAAACCCTCTTTTGCAATCTCCAGGAAGAGTCGATCCAATGGCCAGTGACAACCATGTATTCAATTTTTTGAGTCTTAGATTTCCAACAGTCCGTTGTCAAACTTATTTTACTAACAGTTTCAAGAGATTGTTTCAGTTTTTTCTTTTCAAACTCATAAATCTGAAAGCAATCTGCTCTGGCAGTGGTCCTGCTGATTTTTTTCCACTCGGGCATTCCTCTTTTCATCGTGAGATTAAATCCATCTTCTTCTAAAATGGTAAATGGATGTTCATTCTTCATCAATCATTGTGCAGCAGACTCCCTCATTTGTTCCATATCAAATTTCCCAGGATGTAAAGGAGGGAGTGATGGAAAAGCTTCATCACTTGGTAAAAGATTTAACCTTTTTTGTTTCTCAATCACCTAAAAAGTCAATAAAAGGACATACTCGTTCACATTAAAACAATAAAACATATACTGTGTGCATGACTTTTAAATAAAATAACATTGGAATACTGGAATACGGGAATATATCATACCTGTTTGCATCTATTTTAGTTATTCTGTGAACACATTGATATGAAAAAATCGTTATTCTTTCTAGCAAAATCGGATACTGGCAAATGTATTCTCATTGATAAAGTTGTATTCTTTCTTTTTAGCTATTCTTTATTTAGAATTTTAGCACAACAGTATGTAGCTAATACTAACCATAGACTATTATATTATGATACATGTATAGTATACGTATATTCATTCATATTATGTTATGAAATTCAAAGCCTTACCCTTAGTGAGAGTTTACTCTGAACGCACCTATCTTTATGTCTTTTGTAAGTCGTCGTGAGACCCGACTTAGAGTATGTAAAATGGCTTGAGCAATGGGTACATCGTGCCTTTTTTATTCCATTTAGCATAACCACTTCAAAATCAGACCATACATGAGAAGTCTTTTTCCTCTTATTTTTATGAAAACTCTCTTGTTGTTCTTCCTCTTGAGTTTGCAGTGTTTCATTTCCATGTGAAGTTGTTCCTTCTGTTTCAAAAGCTCCAGTTTGTTCTCTGTGTTCATTAGTAATGCCTTCACTTTCATCAACTGCACTACTTGAATTGGGTGGATTCATCAGAATAGGCGTGCCTTCAGTAGACATGATGGGTCAAACCGTCAAAGGAAGACTAATTTCCTATAATGTCAAAACAAGAACACTATAAGAATAATTAAAAAGTACTGATAGCAGGGCCTAAGATACAGAAAAAATGAATGCTGAAAAAATCATGCTAAGTGTTCACTAATAAAAAGAATCACAAAAAAAAATAAACTAACAAAAATGAACAAGTAAACTTAGAAATATGAATACTAACGCGAATAGACGATGACAACTAAGATTGTTTAGGATTGTAAGAAGTTAGGATTGATTGAAACATGAAAGTTAAATTGTTCAAAAATAAAAACTGCAGCTTAACAAGGTACAATTAGTTCAGCCCATAATTCCAACTTTAGTGTAATACCCAAGATTCATTTAAGAGGATTAATAGTACTACTCATACCAACAAGGTGCATCTCCTTTTAAGGAAGCTCATTAGCCAAGAACTCCAAAGTTAAGCGTGCTTGCACGGGAGTAGTCTTGGGATGAGTGACCCCCTGGAAAGTTTCTCAGGGTGCGCACGAGTGAGTACAAAGTGCGCGGAAAAGGCTAGTGGCGGTTTGCACGGAGTAACTACCTTGGGTCCTGCGGGGCCAGGGTGTTACATTTAGCTATTCTTAACCTCATATATAAGCTAGTGATATTCTTTAAACTACCATCCCAGAAATATTGTGCACACTACTCGTACTTACTAGGCTCTGGAGTCTGAACCAGTATATTCATAGCTTATTAAAGAAATATTTATCAAATTTTTTAAAGAAATACCAGACTATAAGAGCTTTAGTCTAATAGTAATTAGAGAGCCATATTATTGGGTCAAGGAGACCGCATTTAGACTGAAGAGCTTTACTCGAATTTGGGAAGAGCTTAAGTCTAATACCAGACTAGAAATTATTCTTGAATTTTCTAGTCAAGGAGACCGCATATAATCGACATTTTTTATTGTTCAACAACCATAAACAAACCGAATTAAAGAGCCAAATTCACTTGTGAAGTAAGAAGCACAGGAGTGGCTTGAGAGCCCCATATTTAACTTACAAAAGAGACACTGACAAAGTGAGATAGGATGGCATACCGGTGTGCTCCTCGCTGCTGAAATATTGTTCAACTTGATGAACTTATGGCGATAGTCTGAGAGGAGAAGAAGAAGAAGAAGAAGAAGAAGATCGAGATGGCTATATATGGCTACCCTTAGGGTTTGATACGGGTAAGCGGCTATGTAAAATTCATTGTCATCGGCCCGTTCTAAATTTTTACTAAGGAGTAAGGAGTAGTAACTACCTAAGCCTAAAATATTACGTAGTATAATTTTTTACTAATCGGTATTACATTTATTGTAATATAATATATATGTTAATATCTATTATAAATATACATATATATAATTGGGCTGGCGAGCCTAAAAGTAGCAGGCTCGTTTATGCGTGGATTGTATATACGGGCTACTTTTAGGCTCGAGGTTGGGGAGCGACAAGCATCATTGGGCAGAGGAATGTCCGACTGGGTCGAGAAAGGCGACCGTGGAGCCATGGCGGCTATGGCTTAGAGTTCGATGACTGGCTTGGCTATTTTGGCTCTGATGGTGTCTGAGATGGGAGTTGCACCAATGGTGTTCGATCCGGGTGGAACGTTGGCGGTATGGATCCCGATTAAAGGGGGATAATTTGGACTCGAATCAGCCATTGGGGGGTTGACGTGGTTGTTATGGCCACCTCAGGAGGTGGAGGAAGAAGATGGTGTGTGGATGATTCGTCCCCCTCCTGAACCGCCGCCACAGAGGAGTTACGCAACTAGGGCTTCGAAGACGGCGATGCAGCTAAATTTTATTTACTTTTGCTATGTTTTGCTTGCTAAAATTTATTTTGTGGTCATTAGGTCAAATAATAAGGGTGGTAGTTTCTTAGCTTTGGTTACCTTAGTGGTTAGACTTCTGTTTAGGGGCAATCAGGTTGGTTCAGCCGCTAATAGTCTAAAAGCTCTCACATTTTCAGCGATTAGTCTCGCTCGTTTTGGGGTGAACTACTCTATTTCTGATAAAGAAGTGAGAGGGCCGGTGGACTTGGGGTTATATTTGTTTAGAGGAAGGGTAGTGTTTGGTGGTTACGTTTATTGTTTGCAATTTCTCTTGTTTGTACTGCGAGTTTGGAATTAATATAATATTGAAAGTTTTCCTTTCAAAAAAAATTAAACTTGGAAGAGGAAAGGAATGTGCTTTATGATTTACGGGAGCAAATGATTCTCGTTTGTGCTGAAGTTTTCAATGTGAAAACAAGGGTTGACATTGATAAGAATAAGAGATTTAATTCTTAGTAGGGGTTGTAATATGTTTGATCCTAGCAATGAATGGGCTCGTTTGTGTACTAATAAAAGGAATTAATTGATGGAGTTGTAATGTAGGTTTGGTAGCATGTTTGTGGAGATTTATGTAGTCCTTTGATCATATGTACGAGTATCATACTCCATCCTTTTAACAATCATGAAAATATTCTGATGCAAGTTTGACAGCATGTTTGTGTTGTTTTATGTAGTAACTTGGTCATATAAATTTTAATTATTAAAAATTGAATTAATTATCGATAGAAAGCATTAACTTTTATTATTAGTTAACCAAAAAATATTGAATTTGGAAAACAATTTTGCATAAAATACTCTATAAGACCAATAAACCCAAAATAGAGATAATATTTTGTCAACATTTATTCACAGAAATTGAAAGGAATTGATGAAGAAGAAAACGAATTGGGAATATCAGAATGAACTTGTGCGGAAGATTGTTTAACAGAATAAGATTTCATACCTAATTTAGAATTAATCTATTCTATATATACTAAGTAAAGATAAAGCAAATAAGGCCCAATAGATAAAGGCTCAATTACAAATAGAAAAGATTCAAAGTCAGCAAACAGTCTTGTTACGCCCCCTCAAGATGAGCATGTATGTCCAACATGTTCATCTTGACTGCAAATTGATTGAACAATGGATTCCCAAGAGGCTTCGTGTAAATATCTGCAAGTTGAAAATTATTTTTAATATGAATCAAACGAATTAATCCAGCAGCTATTTTTTCTCTTATCAAGTGACAATCTAGTTCAATATGTTTTGTTCTTTGGTGTTGAACAGGATTGTAAGCAAGATGATAGGTAGATTTATTATCAGTGTATATTGTTATAGGTAAATTAGACTGAATATGTAAATCAGTAAGGATATAATACAACCACTGAGCTTCACAAACTGCACTGGCAGCTGCTCTGTATTCAGCTTCAGTGGAAGACCTACTAATAACCTGTTGTTTTTTAGATTTCCAGGAAATTAAAGAATTTCCAAGGTAAAAAGCATATCCAGAAACACTCCTAGTGTCAACACAGGCTGCCCAGTCTGAGTCTGTGTAGCCTTGTATAGAAAAATCAGAAATAGATGAATAAAAAAGACCTTTACCTGGAGAGTTTTTGAGGTATCTAAGGATTCTGTGAGCAGCACTCATATGAATATCAGTTGGAGAGGCAAGAAACTGACTAAGTACTTGAACAGTATAAGCAATATCAGGTCTTGTTACAGTTAGATAAAGAAGTTTCCCAATTAAAGTTCTATATGTTTTAGGATTGTCTAAAACAGTACCCTCATTTTTGGAAAACTTGATTTTACAATCCATTGGAGTAGTGCAAGGTTTACAGTTTTGATAACCATATTCATGTAAAATATCAAGAGTGTATTTTCTTTGACACAAATTAATGCCTTTATCAGTTCTAGCAATTTCTATTCCTAGAATATATTTTAATTCTCCAAGACCCTTAATAGTAAATTGATTATCCAGAAAAGCTTTAACTGCATTAATCTCTTCCATTTGATTTCCAGCAAGAATGAGATCATCTACATACACTAAAAGAACAGTGCATGAAGATTTAGTGATTTTAGTAAATAATGAAAAATCAGCTTGACATTGTTTATATCCAAACAGTTTAAGTGAATCAGAAAGCTTACAAAACCATTGTCTAGAGGCTTGTTTAAGACCATATAGGCTTTTGACAAGCTTGCAAACTCTGGTGTCATTGGGAGACAAATAACCTGGAGGTGGCTGCATATAGATATCTTCATTTAGATCACCATGTAAAAAAACATTATTTACATCAAGTTGATGCAGAAACCACTTCTTAGCACTAGCAATAGCCAAAATAATTCTAACCGTTGTTAGTTTAACAACAGGAGAAAAGGTGTCAAAATAATCAAAACCTTCTTCTTGAGTATATCCTTTAGCAACTAATCTAGCTTTATATCTATCTAAAGAACCATCAGATTTTAATTTTGTTTTGAAAACCCATTTACATCCAATAATATTCTGATTAGAGGGTGGATTAACCAAGAGCCAAGTATTATTTTTCTCAAGAGCTTGAAGTTCAGTAGTCATAGCAGTTTGCCATTCTGGAAGTTTAGCAGCTTGTTTAAAAGTTTTGGGTTCAGTGATATGAGACAAAGAAGCAGCAAAACAAGAATGAGAGTCACTTAGCCTGTTATAGGTAATATAATTTTGAATGGGATACCTTACAAAATTACAAGAAGATGAAGAAGGATTAGAGATACCTGCAGTTATTGAATTGGGTAATTCGTAACTGTAGTCTTGTAAATGAATAGGTAGAGACCTTACCCTTGTTGATTTCCTTGGTGAATGATCATCTGAAATATTAGAGTTCTGTACTACACTAGCATTATTATTTTGAGTAGAATTATGCATATTCATTAAATTGATTTCATCATTCATCTGATTTTGTAAGTAAGAGTTGTCAGAATCATTAGAAATATTATTATTAAAAGTGGTTTTGTAATCATAAAAGTAATCATTATTGGAAGAATGTAAGGAATCAGAATCAGATTGACTAATTTCAGAGTTAGGAGAATTAGAAGAATCAGAATGTTTTTTATATGGAAAAATCATTTCATAAAATCTGATATTTCTTGAGATAAAAAATTTATGATTAGCAATATCATATAGTTTGTATCCCTTAGATCCTAAAGGATACCCAACAAAAACACATTTGACAGCTCTAGTATCAAACTTTGATCTATTTGCATCAAGTGTAGAAGCATAAGCAAGAGAACCAAAAACCCTTAAATGAGAATAATCAGGAGCCTTACCATATAAAAGTTCATAGGGAGATTTGGTATTTAAAACAGAGGTAGGGATTCTATTTATAATATGATCAGCAGTAAGAATACAATCAGACCAGAACATAAGAGGTAAACAAGATTGAAATAAAAGAGCTCTAGCAATTTGAAGAATATGTTGATGTTTTCTTTCAACTCTAGCATTTTGTTGGGGAGTTTCAACACAAGATAGTTGATGAATAATGCCATTAGTAAAATAAAAGGATGGAAAAATGAACTCAGTCCCATTATCAGTTCTATAAGTTTTAATTTTAGTATTAAAATGAGTATGAATTAGGTTATAAAAATTCATAATATGAAATTTAACTTCAGTTTTGTTTTTCATCATAAAAACCCAGGTACATCTAGTATGATCATCAACTATAGTTAAGAAATATTTAAAATCAGAGTAGGATTGCACTCTAAAAGGACCCCAAACATCCATATGAACAAGTTCAAAAGGGTTGGAAGCATAAGAATCACTATCAGAAAAAGGTAATTTCTTTTGTTTTGCAAAATGACAAATGTCACAAGCAGTATCTTTATTCATATGATGAGAAACAGTACAATCAACAACAGAATTCAGTTTATTAAAAGGAAGATGACCTAATCTATAATGCCAAATATTAGATTTAGAATCTGAATATTGACTAGTAGCATGATTTACAAGAGAAGATTTATTATCCATATAAGAATCAGTAGAGTTGTAGAGATATAAGCCATTTTTGAGATCAGCATAACCAATCATTGTGTTGGTGAGATGATCCTGCAAAGTAGCATGATTAGAAGAAAAATGAACAGATATATTTTCACGTAATGCCAAGCTAGAAATAGAGATAAGATTGAAATTAAACTGTGGAACAAAAAGAACATTATGAAGAGTAAGATTCTTATTAATTTTAACAATTCCTATTTTGGTAGCAGTAATAAAAGATCCAGTTGGTAATTGAACTTTAATAGAAACATGTTTGGGTGTAGAAGTAAATAAAGTAAAATCATGAATCATGTGATCAGAAGCCCCAGTATCAAGAATCCAAACAACAGATTTGATAGTAGAAAGAAAAACAGAATGATTACCTAAGAAGGTAGAATCACTGGGAAGAGATTGATCATTGTCATGTGCAGCCATAGCAATATGAGCAGAAGCTTTGTCTTTCTGGCTTTTCATAAAATCTAAAAACTTGTTGTAAAGAGAAGGATCACAAATTTCCTTGGCATTAGAAGAGTCAACAGAAGTATTAGCAAGATGAGCATGAGTGTGTTTGTTGGAATTTGGTTGTTGTTGAAATCCAGGAGCAATTCTTTGTCCTTTAGGTCCTTTCCAATTAGGTGGATATCCAATAATTTGAAAACATTTTTCAGCAGAGTGTCCTTGATAACCACAGTGGTTGCAGGTGACAGAAGACTTCTTCTTATAGTTATTGTTTTTAGCAAGAAAAGCAGTGGAATCGTTGACAGAATTATCAAAGTTTTTAGAAGAATCAGGAATGAAGGGAACAGAATTGGTAAGATATTGAAGTAATCTTTGAGATTCTTCTTGAAGAAAGAAAGAATACACTGAAGAAAGATTAGGACAAGGTTTTTGAAGAAGAATTTGACTTCTCAAATGAGAGTAAGACTCATTTAATCCAACAGGAAATTTCTGAACAGATTCTTTTTGAAGCAATTCTTGATATTTTTCATGAATTTTGCAGGTACAATAACCACAAGAACAAGGAGGAAGGGTTTTGAAATCAACGTATTCATCCCAGAGCTCTTTGAAAAAATTGTAATAAGCAATAATAGTCTGAGTACCCTGAGAAATATTACCTAGGGTTTTTTCAAGATAAAAAAGCCTAGGATCATCACTTTTGCCGTATCTAAGTTTGATTTCATCCCAAAGATCTTTGGCAGCAGTGAAATATAAGAAAGTAGAACGAAGCTCAGGAGCAATAGAGTAAATCAGCCAAGAAAGTAAGAGAGCATTAATACGATACCAAACAGCGTAGGGAGCAGAGTCATCTGGACTTGGCATTTCAATGGAACCATCTAGAAAAGCCATCTTGTTCTTCACAGAAAAGGCCATCACCACTGATTTCTTCCAGGCATTGAAATTATCTCCATTGAGAGTCTCTGAGATGATACGCATACCGGCATGATCACTCGGATGCAGATAATACGGAGATGATGGATCCTCAAGAGGATGAAGAGGTAGCGTAGCAGATGAATTCATCGCAACAAGATTTTGTGAGAAGAAAGAAGAATAGGGTTAAAGGACGATTGAATAGATCGCAAAATAGAATTCGATTTTAGAAATCGAATGAGAAGAGGAAATCAGACAAGATGATGATGATCGTAACCTAATCTGATACCATGTCAACAGTTATTCACAGAAATTGAAAGGAATTGATGAAGAAGAAAATGAATTGGGAATATCAGAATGAGCTTGTGCGGAAGATTGATTATCAGAATAAGATTTCATACCTAATTTAGAATTAATCTATTCTATATATACTAAGTAAAGATAAAGCAAATAAGGCCCAATAGATAAAGGTCCAATTACAAATAGAAAAGATTCAAAATCACCAAAACGGTCTTCTATATTTTGATTCCATAAAATTGAGTGAGCTAAAGAAATGTGTGGAATTAAATATGGGTGTGGTCCATGTAAGCACGAAATTTTGCATAAGGAAGAGAGTGACAGAGACCTGACGAAGCACAAACCAGGAAAAGGTCAAATTGCAGTAGCAGTGTGTCAGTGTGTAGTTAATTGGACTGAATTACAAAAGTAACACAGAGAGATAAAAAAACAAAAAAGTAAAAGCAGAGAGGCAGGCGGGTTTTCGCAGATAGATGCTGCAGGTGCAGTAAACGATGCAAACCGTACAATCCTCCGCCACGCCACTCTGAACCTTACAGTACTCAGACACCAACTCCTATACATCTTACACCCGATTCAAAAGCACACTCCTGAACCCGGAGCTAACTAGTTGAAAAGGGTGGAAAAAAAGTAGAACGGATTTCAATTTCAATTTCTTTTTAAAGAACGGAGTACTCAAACCCCGACCGGACGGTAGGTTGAAATGATGTAAATTTGACTATAATCACATTCTGACAGATAGAGAGTGAGACTCTATGCACTTTTTAACATAATAACATCTCCTCGTAGTTGCCGAAATTCGAACCTGGGACCTAACCCTTGTGGCACTCTCTCGCTACCAGTTGTTGAGCTACGCCCACGAGTTAGTACTCCATTTCCTAACAAGTAGGTAGAGAGTCTAATAAGGACTCTTGTTTCAAGTTCAAATCCTGACAACTGTAATATATATTGTCATTATGTAAAATACTTCGTCTGTAACAAAAAATCTTTCGAGTTTTCTTTTTTGATTGTAACGAAAAAGTCTTCTCATTTCTAAATGTTTATCATACCCTCAATAATTTTGAAAATAATACTCCTTCCGTCTCTTAAAACTTTGACAAGTTTGATCGTCATGGGATTAATAAAGTGATAACTGTGTGGTTGAGAGTTGTGCAGAGGAGAGAGAATTAACTGGAACTACAAATTATTTACTTAAAAGTGAAAGTGCCAAAGTTAGTTAGACATCCAAAAAAGGAAAGTTGGTAAAGTTTTAAGGGACAGAGTGAATACATTATTACAACTACTTTTTTGGATTTATCCATCATTCCATCATACTATTCCACTATCATCTCATCATACCCTCAATGATTTATATCATCTTTCATTATTCTTAATCTACCTACTTTTGAAATTTGAATTTTTGTGTTACGAAGAGAGTACACATGATCTCTCCAAGTGTCTAGATAAGAGCCTGACTCACTTTTTATCGGTTTGTAATTAATGTCGAGTTTACATCCTCTCAGTTAACTGTTGGGTCAGATCTGGGGCTCTCAAAAATGGGGTACATCTTTTTTTTTTTAATTTTCTCCATTTTTACTAGGCTTTATCAATTTTCTTTTTAGTTGTTTGAAACATTGCCAATTTTACGTCAAAGTACTTAATTTGTAATTCTCATCATTTTTCTCTTTGTTATACAAACCTCAACACTACAACTTTACTTTTCATATCCAGGATTAGCGTTGAGCGGGAGCAAATTTACATTAAAAAGATATACGTTGTATAAAGGGGGTGTCTCTGACCTTTCGGAGGCCGTGTGAGAAATAATGAAACATGTTGCTCTCTAAGGAGTTCGGACAGATATATTTATAATAGAGGAATATTGTTTAAAATACATAAATGGCGATAGTCTATTACACCCCCTCAAACTATGCACGAGATACAACACGCAGGTTGTCCTTTAAAAAATGAAAACGTTGACTAGAGAGACTCTTAGTAAAAATATCTGCCAAGTGAAGATGAGTAGGAACATATCGAACTAGTAAATCACCATGGGCCACTCGCGCTCGAACAAAGTGTTAGTCAATCTGAATGTGCTTGCTCCGAGCATGTTGTACTGGATTAGCAGTCAGGTAGGAAGCAGAGATATTATCACACAAGAGATGAACTGGTACTGTGATAGGAAATCCGAGCTCAAAGAGTACGGACCGAATATGCAACGTGTCCCTAAACTGTAAATGCAATGGCTCTATATTCAACTTTAATTTGGTAGAGGACTTGGACATCGTTGGCTGCTTCTTTGACTTCCAAGAAATCAGATTAGGACCCAGAAAGATTGCAAACCCCGTAGTAGACCGTGAGCTATCTGGACAACAAGCCCAATCTGCATCATAATATGCTAAAACACATGTGGGAGTGGCTGAAGTCTGAAGCCAGAGACCATGATCACGAGTACCCTGTAAATATCTGAAAATACGCTTGACCGCAAGCAAGTGAGTACTACGGGGTGCATGTATAAACTGAGACACTAGATGTACTGCAAAAGTAATATCAGGTCGTGTCAAAGTTAAATATTGTAATGCACCTACCATGCTGTGATACTCCGTCGCATCTGTCAGTGGCTCACCATCAGTGAGGGTCAATGTAGTGCGAGAAGCAAGGGGAGTACGAACAGACTTAACAGTATGGAGATGAAAGCGAGCAAGTAAATCAGTGACACATTTTTGTTGAGAGAGAAACAAACCTTTAGAGGTACGAGTGGCCTCTATGCCCAGAAAATAATGAAGATTATCGAGATCTTTCATAGCAAAATGATAAGAGATAAGAGAGATAAAATTATTTACAGCAATCTCAGAATTTCTAGTAATAATAATATCATCTACATACAATAATAAAAAAATGATAGAATTATTCTGGCGAAAAATAAACAAAGCATTATCAGACTTACTGCAAGAAAATTTATGCTGAAGAAGAAAGCTACTGAACCTATGAAACCAGGCTCGTGGTGCTTGTTTAAGACCATAAATGGCCTTGCGCAAGCGACACGTGTGAGTGGGAAACTGAGGATGAATGCCTCACGGGACTGACGCATATAAACTTCTTCAGTGAGATGACCATGTAAGAATGCATTTTTAACATCTAACTGACGAACCACCCAACCAAACAAAATAGCTAAAGTAAGAACAATATGCACAGTGTAGGTTTAATGACTGGGTTAAAAGTTTCAGAAAAATCTACACCTACCTGTTGATTAAAACCTTGAGCGACCAACCGAGCTTTATGGCGCTCCACTGTGCCATTAGCATGATATTTTGTTTTATAAACCCACTTACATTCAAGTATATTCTTAGAATTGTCAAACGGAACCAGATCCCAAGTATGGTTAGCAATAAGTGCATTGAACTCCTCAACCATGGCCTCCCGCCATTTTAAATGTTTATTCGCCTCAGAAAAACATGATGGATCAGTGTCAATAACATTTGTGTGTAAAGAAAAAATAGATTTGGTTTAAAATGCCATTTTAGCATGAGTCTGCATGGGGTGAATATTAACTACCGTAGTGGGCACAGAAGAAAGGTCTGGGATCTCGGCCGATGTGGGCTCGGCCGATGTGGTCTCGGCCAGAGAGCTGGGTGTCGATGTTGGGGAAGTAGACCAAGAAGGACTAAAGTGATCAAGGTCATGTAAGGAAGGTGACAGAGTGGTCGGTGTGGTCGGACTAGTAGGTGTAGACGAGGCACTATCAGTAAAAGAAATGTTATGGTTCATTAGACACAGCTGGTGGAGTAATTAAAGGTGTTGGGGGGTGGCGATTTGGGGCATGCCGTGTGGTTGGGAAAGTGTGGGAGCTGGAAAACGGAATGTCTGAGAGAGATGTGGTAAGAGGATATATGCATTCATGAAACCTAACATGACGAATAATGTAGACCCGTCGAGTCATAGGATCATAACACCGATAGTCCTTGTAACAGGATGCATAGCCTAGAAAAACACATCGGACAGATCGAGGAGAGAGTTTATTGGAAGAGGTGGCATTGGGATAGCACGCGGTGCCAAACACACGCAAAAAAGAGTAATCAGGTGTTTTGTTAAAAAGTTTTTGAAAGGGAGACAAACCATTTAAGAGAGGAGATGGTAAGTTATTAATAATGTATGCAGCGGTATAAAGAGCATCTACCCAGAATTACCTCGGAACCGAAGCTTCAAGAACCATGGCGCGAGTTAATTCGAGTAGATGACGATGCTTTCGCTCAGCTACCCCATTCTGTTGAGGGGTGTCCGGACAAGATTTTTGAAAATAAATTCCCTGAGCTTTAAAAAGCTGCTGCATTTCACGATTAACAAACTCATCACCCCGATCACTTTGAAAAATTTTAATTTTCTAATTAAAAAGTTTTTCAACAAGAAGTTTAAAATTTTAAAGTGCTGAAACACCTCACTCTTGCGACACATAGGATAAATCAAAGTAAAACGCAAGTAATCATCGATAAACGAGACATAATATTTAAAAACCAAATTTGATAAAATAGGTGACTACCACACATTCGAATGAATAAGTTGAAATGGAAAAGTACACATATGGTTAACATACGAAAAGGGCAAACGTTGTGACTTTCCTAGACGGCAAGCAACACAGTCATGAACAAAACTGGAGTTATTACATAGAAATTTATTGTGTCTAAGAAAGTGCAAATTTTTGTCACCGCAGTGACCTAATCTACGATGCCAAAATGGACCCGGAGCTGACACAGATGCTAAAGCTAGTGAAGGAGAGAACGTCACACAGATAGGATAGAGTGGCCAACTACTTGAAGCTTGTAGAAGAAGTGCCCCCGAGATTTTGTCCTTAATAAAAAATTACGACACAGTTGTTATCAGCACATAATTTTTGAATAGAAATTAAATTAAATTTTAACCGAGGTACATGATAAACAGATTTTAAAATAAGAGAGCGATCAGACGAGGGTAGGGGCACATCACCAACATTGCAAATAGGTAACTGTTCGCCATTTGCAACACTAATAGAAGTAGAGCCAGAGTACGCAGATTTATTAAGCAAAATACCTTCAGAGGCCGTCATGTGAGCAGAAGCTCCAGAATCGGGGTACCACAAAGGAGAATTAGTTTCTTCAGAATTAGTCATCAGTGCGGGTGCAGAAGGCTGTGAAAATCGAGAAGGACAGGCAATTGCCGAGTGACACGTGGAAAAGCATATCTGACAAACAATAGGAGGAGGAGCTTACCCCAGAATACCCCTATCTGATAGAAATCCTGCAGAATTAGAGTGAGTAGCACAAACAGGTACAACATGAATAGTTAAAGTGGACACAGTAGACTTACTAATAACAGCACTTGTAGTGTTATTAAACTGAAACGGAGCACCCCTGCATTGTTACTTGTTGATCATGGAGGCATAATCCTTGCCCAACCTCATAATGGTAGACTTGAGCATATCGAGATGATACACAAGAAAATTAATGCAAGCAAGATCATCCACTAAAATTTTAATATCTCGTAAATAACTGTCCATAGATTGTTCAGGCTTTTTCTTTATAGTATTCAACATATGTTTTAATTCCATAGACCTGGCTAAACTGACAGACATAAATCTCGATTCTAATCGTTCCCAAATCCCAAAACAATGTTTTAAATCACGAGCATCAATAAGCACATCACGTGATAAAGTTGCAAATAACATCGAACGAATAGTTTGATCAATACGCAACCATGACGAATAATGAGGATTAGGGATTTGACGATTGTAGAGATATATGGAATAAACAGAGGGTACCTGAATGGAGCCGGCGACCTTTCCCAATAGATTTTGAGAGACAAGAAAGGACTCAAATTGGATGCGCCACATAGTGTAATCCTCGACAGCCTGTAATCCTCAACATATACAAAATACCCGGGAACTTGTACTTGTAACACCCTATTGACATATTCTTCTCACATTTTGAAGTGCAAAATGATCGGTGATAACATCACTGGAATAGCTAACACTTTTTTTCAATGGATAAATACGCCTCTGATGAGTGATGACAATATTGCTTGTCTAATTGAGTACTTGAGTTGTGTGCCGTATATAGTAATTTAATTTAGGCTTATCAAGTAAGCAAGTTAACCTTTACTCCTTCAGCCCTTAGCTCTTTGCCTCTTTTACTCTTTACAGCCTTAAAAGCTTTTAACTTTACCCAATTAAGTCAATTTATCAATTACTCATTTATGAGTGAAATTAGAGATTTAAAAAAATCAGAGATACAGAGCGCAAGAGTGAAAGACTCATGGAGGTAGGAGACTAGGAGTCACAGTCGACAGGCGGGCACTCAGCGGCGGTCGGTCTTCAACACTTCGAGTCTTCAGCAATCGGCACGGCCGCACGGCGGATGGTCCGTAGTTGGTGGGGATGAGAGGTGGGAACTGCCCCATAGTAGATCCGCCCTCCCATAGCCGTGGAGCATTTTTGTTTAGAGAAGGGGTGAACTTGACTCCGATTCAAAGTTAATTAGCTGATTTGAACGTTAGTAATAGTGGTGTTTCAGTACAATCCTGTAATTTATCTCTAGCTTATGTCATTTACTCTCCTTTATCCCATTTTACCTTGTTTATTTATATTAAAATAGTTACTACTCCCTCCGTATCTATTCACTTACCACACTTTCTTTTTTCGTTGTATAAAATTAGTTATCTCTTTCCTTTTTTGGAAAGAATCTCACTCAAAAAGCAATTACAGTACCACTACAGAAAATGCATCTTGTTGGTATGCGTAATACTGTTAATGAAAGTGTTACCAAAGCAAAGAAAAAGTTATATGAAAAATAACTAAAATAATACTCCCTCCGTCCCGGAAAATTAGTCCCACTTTGACTCGGATCGGAGTTTAAGAAAGTGGGAATAAAGTGAAAATGTATGGTTGTGATTGAGTGAGAAAAAGATAAATGAATGTTAGCCACACAAAACTTTCTAAAAAGGGAAATGAGAACAATTTTTTGGGACAGCCCAAAAAGGAAAATGGGTCTTATTTTATGGGACGGAGGGAGTATTTTACAATAACTTCAACAATGCAACCAAAATTAAAAGTGCTCGTATTTCCTTTGGTGAAAGTTATTGATAAGTTATGCGGAGTAGGAGTGGGCATGGTTGGTTAACCGTATTTCGGTTAACCAATTTATGGTTAATCGAAATATCGGTTAATATGTTTATGATATCACTAACCGACTAATCGTACCATAATGACGGTTAACCGGGTAACAATTAACCATCTCATAGGTTAACCGTTAATCGGTTAACCAAAAAACCGTATATACAAAGTATATAAATAAACTACTAACTAGATTCATTTTAATATTGCCGTATGAATAGCGCCATATACTAAATTACGTTACAGACGTAGTAAATTACGTATATGCAGTATTGTGGTTTTCAGAATAACTTTTTTACCAACTAGAAGTTTACTACAATATATAATACTACATACGGAGCACGTATTACGAAGAATTTATACGGGGTACGTAATATGCTTCAACTGTGATTCAATATGTACTCGTACTGTCTCGTAGTGTATAACTAAAAAAGTTAGATTTGAAACATACGTTTCAGAAAGTTGAGAAAATTTCTTGTAAGATGCAATACCATATTCTTTGAATCTAAAATTAAATTTTAAATATAAAATCCGAAAATAAAATTAAGTATTAAATCTAAGATGCAATACCATATATATACTCCGTAAATTTGTAAATAAATATGGACAAGGAGTTAATATTGAATATAATACAGGGAGTTTTATGAACTCACATTGGATAAATAAGCAAAATGTATGTATGAATTTGAGAGCAATATATTAACTTTGGATTAGCAGTTAACCGGCGGTATTTAATTTCAAAACCGTAATCGTATAGTAAAATGTTTTTTCTACCGGTTGGTTAACCGTCCCGCAAGATTTAAAAAACACGGCATGGTTAACCAAAACAAACACCGATTTTTCGGTTATTTACCGCGGTTAATCGGTTACGGTTTTTTTCGCCCACCCCTAATGCGGAGTATAAGTCAAAAAGAGATCGTTACCGAACGAACTCTTAGAGGAAGTTTTAGATAAATGTGATTTTGGAAGAGTAAAATTTGATTAATATGGATGTTAGTATGATTTGGAGCAGCTTTTAGTTTGTGGATTTCCGTATAATGTACAGAGACAAGAGGTGCAATAAAGACAGCATAGGTGCAGGGCGAGCAGCAGCAGCGGCAGCTAGCGCCTTCCAGAGTATCATTATAACACCACTGTGCACTCCTCAGAGCTTAATTTGTCATTTTGTTAGGGCCCCCCAATTCCTAACTATTTACCCTAGCGTGACACTTCACACACTTTACCCTGCCAACAAATATCCCACTTGCTTTCTAAAATTAATAAAAAATACTATACTTATCTCATTTTTACTTTTAATAATATATTGCGGAGGCAATTCATTTAAGTAAAGTACCATTTAAATGAATTGTTCCATTTATGATCATACATTAGAGTGTAGGATAAAAAATGGGGTATATTTGGGTAAAAAATGGGGTACATTTTGGGAGTACCTCTGGCAAAACTCAAAATTAATTCAACCAACCTTTTTCATCATATACTCTGTACAAATTGGACATACGGAGTTTTAGTTAAGATATAAAAAAATGATCACATACCCCGTCACACAATTAATTGAGAGAAAATTATTTACTTCGTCGCCCCGTAAAATAATTTCTAGTTTCCTTTTTAGGTTATCTCAAAAAATAATTCACATTCCTTTTTTTGGAAAGTTTTGGGAAGCTATCATTTATTTACTTTTTTTACTGAACTATAACCATGCATTTCTATTTTATTTCAATTTTCTTAAATTTCGATACAAATTTTAGTGTGAATTATTTTATGTGACGGATGGAGTACATTTTAATCGTATACTTGTGAATAATGAGTTAATTTCTGGTTCAAGTACAACATACTCCAATTAGAGAGGGTGATTTGAAAATGTGCTAAATTTCTGTGTTTTCAATTCAAATGAAAGTACTCCATCTTCATCTTTCGCATTCCATCTCCATTTCCATTTCCTTCATCGTCCTAGATTCTCGTATATCTCACCATATTCATCACCTCACATCTTTTACATTAAGGAAGTGTTTGGAACTTATTCTGCTTCTGTTTCTTTTTTAAAGCAGAAACAGAATCAGAATCAGTTTTCAGAAGCTGGTGCTTTGCACTTCTGAAAAAACTGATTCTGGGAGTAAATTAGAGCACCAGAATCACTTCTGCACTTTCACCCAAACACTCCAACTTCTGCTTCTGCTCCCTGAAGGAGCAGAAGCAGTTTTAAGAATCAGATCCAAACACCCCTAAGTATCATATACTATCTTCCGTTCCGTTTTAATCGCAACATGTTGAATTTTACACTATTCACATGCTCTAATTTGACTATATTTTACGCTATTATTTTATTAAAATTATTTTGTAAAAAAAATATTGTTCAATTGATTTCATTACAAATTTTCAAAATCTGATTTTTAATATTTTTTTACTAATAGAATTAAGATATAATTACGGTCAAAAACGTGTGTTGGGAAATGTGAAATGTTGACCATTGCAACTAAAAAAGAACGGAGGGAGTATACTATTATCATCTTCAAAGTTCAGAAAATTGAAGTTTGAGGGTTGTCGCAAAATTGTCGTGAGAAATGACTATACACTCACTTCCAAAGTGTTTGTGTGCCCAGAACCTGTTAAGGGCAGACAATAAATGTAGGAATTATCTGTGTGCAGACAACTTATATCTGTATCCGGACATTAGTTTGCACGCTGCTTTGCAAAAATGTCTGAATTTAGTTGCACGGAAACCAATGCATGTGCACATACATTAGTTGTCTTTCCTCGCACAATCTTACATATTTGTCAATGCACATTGACACTCTAAGAAATTCTATAGTTAGACATTTTTTGTCGTGAGTCTCATTTTACGATCATAGAAGATGATAAAGGAAACAATAATGATGATTGATATGAAAGTTTGTGAAGATGGGAGGTGAAAGTGGAAGATGATAGAGATGGTGACAACAAAGAGGATAAAGATGGAGTGAGGAAGATGAAAGAGTGTGAAGATAGTCAGAATGAAAGATGATGAAGTGGATGTGAAGGTGATGAAATTGGGAGACAAAAAGAAACCTAATGAGGGAGTTGGAGATCGATAGAAAACCGTATGAATAGAAAAGAAGAGAGCAGGAAAGAAGAGTAGGGAGGGGATAAAGTAAAATCGAAGACTAAAATAAAACAAATATAAAGTATTTAGAAAGTGTGTCAAGTCTGTACAAAAAATGTATAAATAACATTTTTCAAAAATTATTATAAGTCGTCATTTGTGTCTTTACAACTTACCAGTAAGTATAATGTACGGCGTCAATTGTCTCTGAGGGTGTTTTTGAAAGTTGGTTTTTGGAGGGGTGGGGAAGGCATGTGAAGGAAATAAACTCTCCTATTTGTGTTTAGGAGTTTAAATAATACTCCCTCCGTCCTTAAAAGGATTGCCAAGTTTGACCGGCACGTAGAATAATAAAGTAAAAACTGTGCGGTAGAGATTTGTGAAGAGGAAAGAGAAATAACAGGAGCCACAAATTGATTGATTAAAAGGGAAAGTGACAAAATTTTTGGGACAACCGAAAAAGGAAAGTTGACAAAGTTATAAGGGACGGAGGGAGTATGATGGAAAGGTTTTGGCGGTGTTATAAAATCTTCTGAACCCTCCAAAATCCGGGTTTTCTAATTCCCCCGATTTGAGGGCTTTATAAGGTTTAGCTACGCAAATGAGAGATTTATCCTTCGAAACTAAAACCGCATCCGCATAAAATCTTTATGAGCTGCTACTCGTTTCATTTCTCTGCAACTGAAACCCCTCAAATCTCCAAATCCTCCTCTTTTGAAATTTGCAACTCCCCATCTCCCTCCCCTTCCCTTCTCTCTAGTTATTTACGATAGCAACCCAACGCAACTCGTATTTCAGCATTCCCATAATGTATTCACAATTTAAGCCAATTTCCCTCCCCTTCCCTTCTCTCTAGTTAGCACATTTGTCCTATATATATAACGTGCCGCATGGAGTGATGTACTCTAGTGAGTGTGTATCCTGAATTTTTACTCTCTTAGGGCAAGATTACATATATAAGTTGAGCAAAATGAATTCATTTGTATAAATTTATACATAAATATAAATCATACTCATAATTTAATGAGAAATTGAGCAAAAAAGTTTGTTTATATGGATTGTTTTTCGTAAGTATAAATTGAGCAAAATAAATTCAATTGTATACATTCGATTGTATGGAATTTATGCTAACACACTGGAGAGTTGGAGGAAAGCCCAGATGTGCTTCACCGGTGGAAGTTTTTTTTTGAAGACATCAATATTTTGTTAAATAGTCATGTCAATTTTAAAATTGTTTATTGTACACCATAAGTGAATCAGCTAGCTCATTGCATTGCAAAGGCAATTCTGTACATATTCGGGTCGACCCGTTTCAGTCCATACCTAATTCATCTAGCTCAGCTAACTTCATTCCAAGTCACTTGGCAATTGATCATTTAATATAGTGTGATGATTTTTTTCAAAAAAACTGTATTAATGATCATTTAATAGTGTGATCA